CCTCTTCTTCCTCCTCTTCTTCGCCATCATCGTTGTCGTCATCATCGTCATCATCACCACCGTCATCATCATCATCCTCATCTCCACTGCCACCTTCCCCATTGGCCTCGGGTTCATCTTCGGGATCTCCTTCATCTTCACCAGAAGCATTCTCCTCGTCCTCGCTTGCATCTTCATCTTGATCATCCACTGCTTCTTCCTCGTCATCTTCATCATCATCCTCGGTGTCACTGGCATCCTTGTTCTCAGGACTAGGTTTTCTCACTGAAAGAAGCTGAGCAAGTGGAAACCTGCAAAAGCAAATTAGTCAATTTTCCCATCCCACGAACAAGAAAAAAAGAACAAGCACAAGTTAGGAAAGATGAAAAAGAATCCAACTAACCCTCCATTTGTTTCAGACTCTTTCAAGTGGATATCAATTCCACTAGGCAGAGTTCCCATCTGGAAAAAACATCAAACACTTGCTGAGAAGAAAACCAGATTTCTTCCAGGCGCAGTTTGTGAGCAATGTGTAATAAACACGCATATTATCACATCAAGGGACAACTTTAAGAACGGGAAAATGAAATTACTCATTGCCATACAACTCACAAATAATAAATGTTTAGACCAGATGAAAAACAAACGAACATTCTTGCACCAAAACACACACACACACAAAAAATGACAATCAACACAGTGATATTGTTCTAAAATCTTAAAATGTAGCAGTTCGCTCTTGATTGCATTAACTTCCATATTAAATGAACCAATGCTTCCAAAAACTCTCTATAAACATCCTAAACAAATTCTTCCTTAACATCCTACTATAAACTTTTAGACAACCTATTAGGCAAAGTAACAAAATCCCTAGTTTCAAACAGATAAGAAACAAAAACAGCATTGAACCTGAAACTTGAACACTTCTAATTTCTAGAACAATGCAATCAAATTATCATATCAAAGTTGTCAATTTCCAAATAAATTCAAGGAATAATAAATAAGTCCTTAAAGGGAATAAAAGCAACCATCATTCAAAACTATTAACCGCAAAAATTAAATAGCAACTTCCCAAGTGGGGTTAAATTAACTAGCAAAGATAAAAGAAAATTATACCATCGTGAACAACCAAGCGATCGACTTTGTAACAACAATGGCAATCTCGACAACCATAGCTTGTAGTGCGAAGCCCAATAACACATCGTTTCCGGTCAAGCTTTCCATTTGAGTGACTTCCGACATATCGTGTGACTGAGCCTATAAAGAAAGGAACCCCAATTGAAGACAGAGAGTTAAAGATTGAACTAGGTTTTTGGAATTTGGGGGTTTTATGTTAGGGCTTTGGAGATATATTACTAGCATCCACGAGCACATGAGTCGAGAAAGAGTGCTTGATGCCAGTGATAAAGAAACTAGTCGGTCGTGGAGTTAAGCATGACAGCTAAAACTGAGGCCGTCCGATTTCTTTGATCTATCTTTATCCGTGGATTTTGATCATAAAACGAGATTATTGCCGTTGACTTAGTTAAGGTGATATGCCTTTTACCATAATATTTTGAACATTTATTACATTTTCTTTCTTAAGAATGTGTTTGGTTAACAGAACGTAAGATTACCAGTGGAAATAAAAGATTATCAGAGAATATGATTACTGAGAATGTTGTATTTTTTGTTTGGTTGGTTTAGCAGGAAGGTAAGATTAGCGTGTTTGGTTAAAGGAATAAAATATTATTGTAACGTATATTTGACCAAATTGTCCTTATTATATATTTGTTTTTTTAACAAATTGGAAAATATTTATATATTTTCTTTAAAAAAATTAAATTCATAAAATTTATATACATTTTTTTACAAAATTAAAAATATAAAAAGGTTTAATAAAAGGGTAAAATTTTATTTTAACTCATGAACTTTATATAAAATTTTAATTATAGATTTTTTTTGTAAATCTAAAATAGTTTAAGGATAAATTTATAATTTAACATTCGTAGAATTTTTATTATTCAATGACAAAATAAGGATATTTTTTAGAGAGAAAATTAAGGGCATTTTAGTCCAAAACGCCAGTAATCCAACAATACCTAAGGAGATGGAGGTAATGACATTCCCTGTAATATACCCCAAAAAATCCACTATTGATAATGTAAGATTACCGTGAATAACATTCCCGGCCAACCAAACGGGAGAATATGAATTTCATTCCCATGGGAATCTTACATTCCCCCAACCAAACACACCCTAAAAATGTTCCTTTTGTTGGTTTAGTTTGAGGCCCAATGCCTAAATTTACCCAGCAGATGAGTTTATTTATTACTGATACGTTAATTTGACCTAAAAAGGTTTTAAATTTAATAAATAATAAAATTAAAAACAATATTACTTGTTCATCACTAATGTGGTTTGGGAGGGAATTCTTCTTCACTGTAACATAAGTAGATCAGGTATCGCACCGTCTCCAGAATATAATATCGATTTATTGAGAGTTTTGTTCGTACAGTCAGAGATTTTTTTAGTAATATATGTCGAATTTTTTTAATGTTCTATTGTAACTGAAAATTTGTTGACGTGCTTATCATTGCCATGGGAAACGAGGATATTTGCAGCTTAGATATGTTTTTTTATGATCGAATGGGCATCAGGTTTTCTGTGAATCAAGACCATGGACATGCACATCTAGTGAATTGACAAAACCAGTCACTTTAAGTACCTGACATCGGACGGCACGTAAGCAGTGTGATTTATCTGGCGCTGTAATTGAAGAGATGAGGCACCGAATATGCCCGCCGTTTCATCCATAAAACTGATGTATACCAACTGCCTATCAAAATATTGAATGAGAGATTGATGCCGATGGTTCTCCTATGGCCAACTGAAAAGACACGAGATTCCAATTTTATGGCTACCAATGGAACATTTCCTAGTTAACCGAGTACCCGGTTAGTGATTTTTTTAAGGTAAATTATATATTTGGTCATTTATATATTATCTAATTTATATTTTGGTCACTTGATTATTATTTAGAGCAAACTGCCTATTTGGTCACTTATATATTATCTAATTTATGTTTTGGTCACTCGATTATTATTTAGGGTAAACTACCTCTTTGGTCACTTATATATTATTTTTTTATAGGAATTGAAGGCCTAATTAAAAATCTCCTTCATGATTAAGGAACTCAGAGGAAGGAGGAAAAGAGTGACTTATACTTCATTAATAAAAGATACATAAGATTTACAACATCAAGATAAAACCCTTACAAACAATCCTAAGAACCCAAAATAAAATACCCCTAAAACACATTGAAATTAGCCAATACTGGACTTAGCCAACCCATCAGCCTCTATATTGGTTGTCCTAGCAACCCATCTAATAACACCCTCCAATTCTTTAAGCTTAACCGCTATATCCCTGACAATAAAGGCATAGAGATCACGACACAAAGTTCCATTCTTAACCCATTCCACTACCATTTTGCAATTTGATTTTATAATCAACCGACCCTAAATACCTCCTCTCACTGAATCAAAGAAATATAAACCCTTCTAATATATTATCTAATTTATGTTTTGGTCACTTGATTATTATTTTTTTTCAAAATTATACCTAACATTACGTTTTGATTCTATTATGGTCACCCATATTTAAAAATGAACTATGATTCTAACATGACATTTTTTAATTATGTTTGGATGTTGGACTAACATTTTTTAATTATGTTTGGTTGTTGGACTATGTAATTCGAAGTTTTGAACATTTTAATTTTTGTGTGTGTTTTTAATTAATAATTTGAAAAACAACCCAGGTATTCGGGTACCCGCAATATCTGGGTCGGGACACGGGCCGAGAAATCAATTACCCAAAGATTCGGGTACCCAAATTTGCACACCCCTACTGAAAACTACGTATGATTTTATTTTAAGAGACGAATAATTTTAAAAGGATTACTTATAAAATTTTAAGAGCGCATATGATTATGAATAGAAAATATAAAAAAATAAAATATATAATAATTTAAAATTTTTATAGGATAATTGCCCCCTATCCTCTCAGTCCATCTGCTGAAACTGGATCTGGGACTGGGTGTCTGACCCTGCTGTCGTTGTCCTTCCTGCTGGAGTTTGCAAGAAACAACCATTCTTCCTTTCTCAATTACTCAAGCCCCACACAATGATATGTAATATCAACAAGATACAAAATTTTATCATATCAAGCTATAACAAGCCTGGTAAGACATCAACTCCAGAAGAAACAAGTATATTCAGGAGATGGGAAGAGGCAAGGCCACTGATTCTCTGACCCTTAAGCTTGCTCTTGACCATCAATAGCAAAGAATATGAACATCTATGAGTTCTATTTAGTTCTTCAAGATGAAGACATTAGTCCTTCAACAAATAAATAAAATAAACCTCGTCTAGACAAACATTGTATATATGAGCTGTAGAATCCTCCATGCCAATAGCGACTATATTATTGTGTTGAGGGTGAAAAGCAAGATATGTTGCCACAGTGGGTGGAGACATGAATTTTTCTGCAGTTATTCACTAAAATTCCAAAGTGGTTAATGAAAGTTCAACACGTTTCTTGGTACCTTTCGAATAGGGATATTGGGATAATGTCAGGGATGGACCAAGGGGTAGGTGAGGACAATCACCCGTGAAAATTTAAAATTACCATATATATACTCAAAGTTGAAAATGAACCTGCGACTGCAAGCACCTTGCTCGAAGTTGATTGCAAAATCAAGTGAATATATATACTCATATATATATATATATATACCATGGCGTTGGGTCCATATTAACTATATACCATGACGTTGGGTCCATATTAACTATATACCACGACGTTGTGGCTAAGATTTGCAAACTGCGACGAAGAAGCTTTGAAGGAATGTCAATATGTCATCTGTCCTAGTGTTGTAAACATCTTGATTTCACTATATTGAACGGGAAAGTAAAACATAAATGCCGGTAGTTTTATGAGGCTCCATTTGAGAGCAAACAATGGTTATTAGGCTCGAATGGCAGAGTAAAACATAAAGCATGGCATTTGTAGACACAAAAGTAGCATTATTAGTTTCAATCTATGGGCAAGTAAAAGTAAAACATTAAGTTATATATTACAGATTAAATCAAATGAGTTGGGATTGCCAGAAGTTCTCACCCGAGGGAGTATTTTATTTATTTTTTTCACTTATTCAATCATCCACCTTTGCTGCTGCAGATGCATAACTCACACTACTGTCTCTTGTTGTTTTGCACTTACTAGATTGCTCGTATCGGAGGAATTTGATCTTTATTCTTGTTGTACTGTTCCTTAGCATCTGAAATATATATTCAAAGATAAGCATGGCCATAAAAAAATGAAAATCAGGAAACTAAAATAACCATTCTGCTATTAGGCTAATGGATAGTTTTTTAAAGGGATGAATCACGAATGTTTCCTTTTTATTAAAAAAAGAAGAAGGGAAACATAGCTTTGAAGAAAGCTTATTGTGGCACTTACATGAAGGAAAACACTGATTGGATGACGCCCACAGATAGTGTTGTCATACTCCGACAGATATTCCTTGAATGCATCTGCATCTCCTGTTTCTATTATATCCATGCCCATCTTGTCTAAGGCTTCAATTGATTTATGTATGGCACCGTACTTCTTGTCATAGTGCATGTAATTAAACCTGGCATCAATGTAGAAAAGGTAAACATTTGTGCCACAACGTAAAAACCATAATCAATTTCAGTCGATATTCATCTGAACATTGCATAAGCTTTGCGGGTTCACATTGTATAATAGAATCAGGATAAAACCATTGAACAACAAAATTTCTTTAAAGGAAAATAATGTATTTGTTCTTATATGGGTATAGAGAAAATAAAACCATCTATGAACCAGCTGAACGAGTGGTGTTTGAAAGTAAACGTAAAATTTCCTATGACCGGGATAATATAACAGTCTACATTACAGTATGCATACAAAGACAACTTATGCATCATTCACAACAAAGATGACATTTATACCAAACAAAACAGGTGAGATTTTAGAGGAAGCAGAGACTGAATCCAATATACCGAGAACCCCAGTGGCAAAAATCTGATGACACGGAGAAGAAATTTTGAGGATCATCTATATATTTGGCCAGCAATTTTCCATACATCGCTTCATTTTCAGCACTAAGAGCACCAACCAAAATCGGTACAACTTTCACTGGATGCCTATATCACCATCACCCAAAATCAGCTTCAACTAGAACCAAGTGTGGAGCATTACTTAATACGTGTTTAAAAATTACCCCTCAAATACTTTTGCAAGATAAGGCAAGTGCATTTCCATACTATGCTCAGCCTCATCAACTCGAAGATTCATTGATTCAAATTTTCCGGTAGCTGTCAGCTCCTCGATGACTGAAAGATGAAACAGATGACTCTACTTAAGTTTTTTATGGAGGACGAGAGAGGCTTAGGGATTTGAAAAGAAAATCACAAGACATTCATCAAGGGAAAAGAATTACCAAGACCAGAAACACCAGTTGATCATCTCAATAAAATATATAAGACATTTTACTGGACTTGTCAACAAAGCTATTCTGATATGACAAGAAGAAAAACAATATTTATCTCAATGTAAATGGACATTACTTCACCTTCCAGATCAATAGGTAAGTCCCCTATTGGTGTTTTGTACACCGTAGCAGTTGACAGAGCACATTTTGGAGTGTAATAATGGTGAGATGGACCGAGAAGGAATACACGAGAACTGCACTTATAAATTTTCTCACATATCAGTCAGTTTTAGCAATAAATGAAGCAGATAAAGTAATTAGTTTTAGTTCAAATATCATGACCTTCACATAGCCAGAGCAAACATCTGAACAAAATTTGGCTCAAAATATGATTAATGATTAAAAAAATAAGCATGCTTCCTGGGAATTGAGATACATTATATGATATTAAACTATAGCAATCAAAGAGGAGAAGTATAATAAAAGGGCACATGTTTGTTGGGTCTATATTTCCAAAAGCATAAGCAGCAGCACGTCCTGAATACGAATAGCCTGCATGCCTGAATTTCCCAAGCCACAATCAAACCAGAGATAAGAGAATGCATTAAAACTTTAAGTAATGCTATGAAAGAAACAAACAACGAGGTGACAGATCAACTTACGGAGCAATTACACCTCTTACATCAGAAGATTTAGGCAAGCCAGCCTCCATAAGCCATCCATCAAGCTCTTCCGCTAATTCTTTTGCTGAGAAAATTGTAAATAAATATAAATGTGTGAGTATATAATGTAAAAGTTACGGCATTTCTAAGCTATTTTATTGATTAATTTCTCAAAATTAAAAAAACAACAACCATTATGTTGTTTTCTTAGAAGTTTGAATTACAGATGTAATTAGCTACACCTAAGGCACGGATAATGAATTACCTAAGCCTTCCAGTACAAGTTAAAACCATCAATGTTTTCAACTTCAGAAGATTAGTTCAGTGGAATTACAAATTCAACACTTGAAACAATTAAACGAATTTAATTTCTTCCAGCTTTACTTAACAGAATACTAATTCATTCCAGAAACAACACTATCTTAATTGACTCTTCGAAATTACTTAGCTTAGCTCCTCAATCCACATTGATTAATTGATTAATTTTCTCGAAATAAATGATTTTTTTTGCCTCGAGTAGATAATTCGCACAAAGGTAAGCAAAAAGCATGAATCGGAATTAGTTACTAGAATCGTTAAGGGTTTGGAGGAACCAAAACAGCATTAAAGAACTTACGGTTATCAGTGTACCAAGATCCTGCATGAGAAGCTCTTCTGATTCTTTCCATCGAGAATCGAGTGAAAGCCCTAATCTAATCTTTCGGTGGAAATTTGGGATCAGCTCTTCTGATTCTTAGAAGTTTGAATTACAGATGTAATTAGCTACACCTAAGGCACGAATAACGAATTACCTAAAGCCTTCCAGTACAAGTTAAAACCATCAATGTTTTCAACTTCAGAAGATTAGTTCAGTGGAATTACAAATTCAACACTTGAAACAATTAAACAAATTTAATTTCTTCCAGCTTTACTTAACAGAATACTAATTCATTCCAGAAACAAAACTATCTTAATTGACTCTTCGAAATTACTTAGCTTAGCTCCTCAATCCACATTGATTAATTTTCTCGAAATAAACGATTTTTTTGCCTCGAGTAGTAATTCGCACAAAGGTAAGCAAAAAACATGAATCGGAATTAGTTACTAGAATCGTTAAGGGTTTGGAGGAAGCAAAACAGCATTAAAGGACTTACGGTTATCAGTGTACCAAGATCCTGCATGAGAAGCTCTTCTGATTCTTTCCATTGAGAATCGAGTGAAAGCCCTAATCTAATCTTTCGGTGGAAATTTGGGATCAGACTCAGAAACGCTTTAGCGATCGTAAAAGGAAAGACGAACAAGGATACAAATTTCTGGTTCAAAAAGCAATCTCTCTGGTCTTTACTCTACTGATTCTGGGAATCGATGCCAAGTGTAAGGAGAGACTTCAACAGGTTAACTTAACCTGCTCCTGGAATTGTTACTCTATGTTTCAGCCGCGTTGCTCCTCATGGTCCTCTTGTTTTTGTTTTTTCTTTTTGGATATAATATTTGATGATATACAGAATTATCATTTTAATTCCTATATTTTTTAACATTTTAATATTAACGTTTTAATTTTAATTAAAATTATCTATAAAAAAGTGTTAACTAATTAACAATTAATATTTGTCATTGATAATTTTAATTGACATGCGTTTACATGTTAATATAATATTATTATGTGTGTTTAAGTATTAACCCTGACACATATAAAAATATATATTATTTAAAATAAATTTAATTTCATTAATATAATTCCATTTTGCGTATGTAAACTATATCTCAATTTACGAGAGATAATTATTAAAGGATAAAGTTTATTCAAAACATATTACTAATAATTTATCATTTTAAGATGTAGTAAAGTATAATATAATTTCTTGGATGGTATATAATGATTTTCTTTTTCTTCAATTTTTTAATATTTTCAAAATAAATAATAAAATAAAACGATAAATATTGTCTAGTTCATATAATTCAACGGTTAACACGTTTTGTTGCATTATTCATAAAAATTAAAATTTTATAGTTGTTGGAAAAACCCATCATTGTTTTGTTTCATTTTCCTCTATTTTATTTTTGTTAATTTAATTATAATATTTTTCAACTTTCAAAATTATATAAATATGTAAGTACAAAAATATTCTCTGAATCAAATCCCACACCTGGATGAAATAAAATCCGAAATATAAGAGACACGAAAACAAAGTAGTAAGATTGGTATTATAATGTGAATACCAAAATGTTCCACAAGCTACAAACAAATATAAATTTACAACAAATGATAACATATATGATTTTACAGATCACAACCAACAATTATTATATGATGAACCAATCAAATCATATATCACTTTGCAAATCGCAGCGTGAAAGAAGAAATAATAATCCCCCCAAAAATTGACAAAATGAATGACTGAACCAGGCTTCATGCCCAATCACAAACTGTATCAAACTAAAAAGTTCACGAGCTTTTGTTCTTTGCAGCCATACCAAAGAACGAGCCAGACAAAAACAGTCCATGGACAAAACGTAAGACCTGCAATGACACATAACATCGAACACCATAAGTCATCTTTCATCAAACATGGACTGAAAGAAATCATAAAGCAAGCAAGATAAATGGCCACAAGCTTTAGAACCAAATTATGACTTCAGTTATAAGTCGTGGAAATTGCTGAGAAAAGAAGCTGAGTAATAAGTTTTACCTATCTTAGTAGCACACAAACATTGATCTTGGAAAATGAATTAAACAGAACTGGTGCACTTGCCTAATGCCCCCCAAAAGAACGCCCAATCAACAGAAAATTTAAAGATGCTCCAAGATAGAAAGAAGCTTTGGAGCCCTGCGACGGAACAATGGCTCTAGTCGGAACAATGGAACACCAACCTGCCACCTTTTTACATCATACATCTCATTCCATGCCTGTATAATCTCGTCAATTTTAAATCCTAAACCTGCAAGAAAATTGGGACAAAGTTTCCTCATAAACAATTTTTCCTAGAGAGGGGACAATTGAAATTTACCGAGGATTCTTTGTAGATACCTTCAGATGCGTTCTGGTTCGAACAGTGATTCTTAATCATAACAGCTAGATCTGTTGGAGAAGCTCCAGCAAGTTCAAATTTCTCAACTGCAACCTCCAAACAATCTTCCCAAGTTGGCAATCCAATCTTGTATTCCACAACAGAACGCTCATAAAGTAAGGTGCCCCATAACAGGTATATCTGTGAACTCATGTTTGCAGCCTGCTCAGCAGCATCTTCAGGGGAAACATCTTTAAACAGCCTATCTAGCCCCATTTTCTGAAACTGGGTCCTATACTCATCAAATTTGGAGAGTCCATTTAGCCGTCGCTCCTCCGTTTCCTCCCAAATCTGCATGCCCTTCTCCATACTGTCCTCTGCCTTGTTATAAAGCTTCAAGACGTCCTCCGAAAGCCCACTCTCTAAATCAATCTTGCAAGCAATTGCATGGTACCAACAGAGTTTTGCTTGCTCAAACTGCTGCAGCCCCAATGCAAGAAGACCTTCATGAAAATCTGGTTTAATTTTCAATGTTTCCTCATAACTCTTTGCTGCCAATACATATTCTTTTTGTGCCCACTCATACGCAATCTTAACTTGGCCTATCATAGAATCCCTTGAACCATCTTCTGTTATGCTGACATGCTTCCTTGCCCTGGACATGTGAACATTTCCCCAGTTGAACAATGCCAGAGCGGCCATCTCCTGGAACTTATCTGCAGAGATTTCAAACAGCTCCTGTGCGTCTTCACTCGTCACAGAATCTGCCATTGCTTCCGAATATAATTTCATCCCAAGTTCATGAAGATCCAAGTACGAATCAGAATCAAACCCAACGTGGTTCTTAAAAAGTAGTGCAAACTGGACAATCCAATCCTCCATGCATGTTCCCTTTATAGCTTCACCATTCTCAACATCATCATTCAATTTCGCTTCACTTTTGACCACGTCCTCTTTACTTACTCCTTCATAAGCTGGTTCCCGGTCTGGACTAACTTCAACAATATAGAACCTAAGGGATCCTCCTGATACACCACCAACTGATTCAGCTAGCCTAAGATCATCTGTTGAAGTCATTGTAATCAAATCACCCTCTGGATCCATGTATTTCACAAGAACACCCTGCAGCCCCGGAAACCTATCTCGAATGATATCCCTCACCAAATTAATAGTACAATTCAAAGGTAATTGCGCCCACCTAATATCCTCCCCCAACACCAACTTCACCGTCTTTGTAATTGACTTTCTTCCTCAACAGCCTTCACAACAACCTCTTCATCCTTGACCTCATTGGTAAGACTAACCTTCTCCTCCACAACGGCCTTATCCTCCACCGCCTTCTCTTCTGTAACCTTATAGACAGTCTTTTTGTTTATCTCAACATTCTTTCCTTCATTTGTCTTCTTCTTCTTCAACTTCTCTTTCACCACTTTCCGCAACCGTGTAGCCCCAGAAGGCAAAATATCAAACAAACCAAGTTCATTTTCGTTAACAGTAATACCCTTTCATCCATAGCCTTTTTAACGCTGTCTAAAACCTCCAAAGCAGACGAGTTATTGGGTTCAATAGTTAAAACATTATAAACATCCTTATAAGCCAAGTCCAATCTATTCAAAGCTTCATAACATCTAGCTCTTCTCAACAAAGCTTTGCTGTATTTTGGAGAAACCTCTAAAGCCAAATTACATTCATTGATGGCGCGAGGGTACTCCCCGATACCCAATTGCATATAACAGGCAGCCATGTTACTGCGCAAATAAGCGACATCAATATGATTCTTAGGGAGAAGGTTAAGGGCTTTTTCGTACTTTAACATCGCGCCTTCGTGGTCGCGTTTCTGGAAAAACCTGTTACCTTCTTCTTTGAGCTCTTGAGACATGTTGATGAAGATCACCGTGTCCTCGTCGAAGGCTTTGGAAGCTCGATCGGCGGCGGCGGCGCCCTTGTTTTGCTTGTTGGATTCTATGACTTTCTTGCTTGTTTCTTGAAACTTCTTCTTCCCCGTCGGCTTCCCCATTTTCTAGGATTGAGGGGATCCCAAAACCAAGATTAACAAAGAAAAACAAACTGACTATGAGAATAATAACAGTAATTTTTCGGGACGAATATTCTATATTCCGCTGATGGGTGTTCTATGGATGGCTGAAGGGAAATTGAAATCACAGTAAATTCTTATTATTATTCATTTTTAATCTGTTTTTTGTTTTCAATTTGGACTGAACCTTCAGTCTACGAAGCCCATATTATTCAAGAAGACGAAAAAATCATGAAAAATCAAAGAAATCGGTCAAAAACAATAGGTGTCCTCACAACTCATGTTGGAAAATCTAACTCCATGTTCAAAATATGATTTTTTTAATATAAAAATACATATTTAATTTATTAATTAATTAATTTTGATTGGGTACAAAGATGAAAGTAACCATCCTAATTTAATTTGTTCTATTTGTAAATATAAAAATTTCAACTCCTGACATTATTTAAAAGATCTAATGTCTCGTTCTAACAGACTAACTAATTGACGCTATACTCAATATGATGTTAGTTATTAATGTTGACTGATTTTTGTTTTTTTGGCTGATTTCTGTCTGCTCGACATCGTCAAGCTTACGTTGATAAAGAAGCAAGGAAGTTGGATTCAAATTTAGCTAAGCTTGATTTCTTATTTAATAGCTACAAAAACATGCATTAATGCTTTACTTCATTGTTCAAACATCTCTTCTGCAATGTCTAACCCTCCAATTTTCAACATCCTTTCGCTTTGTCTATAATTTATCTTCAATGGATTATTTAACGTGGACTCGTTTTTTTTCTGGGGGGAAAAAAACGCGAAGCCAAACATCGTGGCAAAGCAAATATACCAAAAAAGAATTTCCCCCAATACAAATCTTTTCATCTGATTATGCAAATCTTTAACGTTACAACATACAAATTCCACACGTGAAATCTATCTGCCATTGTATTAGAACACATTCGAGGGAAACCTTTTTTTTTCAAGAGTCTTTGTCTGCTTCAGGACCCTCAGTTATCTGTTTTGTGTAAAGGCGATGGCGTCTCTCTCGGCCGTATATTACCCAGAAGATTAAAGAAAGCATAACTGCAGTTGAGACCATTACCAGCCCTATATAAACCAATCTGCTATATCGGCGTAGACTGGGGCAGTGTTCTACATAAACGCCTGTAAAAGTTTCCCTCACAAATGTGCAGTCTTGTAACTGAACCAGGAATGGAGCATAATTGTACAATGCCGAGCCCACGTTTACGACTGCTGTCATTTGGTCATAGAAGGCCGGCGTTATTCGTCCAGTCGTTGTGCATATTCCGGTTGCAGAAACCTGACAGACATAGTTCCTCCATACCTGCAGTGAACCATAATATCTTCCATTAAAATACAAAAACTTCCTAGGTGAATAATGCACTGATGTTGCAG